CTGCCGAGGCTGCGCACCGTGACTCTCCAACCACGCTACGGCCGAATATCCGACATGCCCTTTTCTGAGGGATGCCTCGAAAGCCTCCGCTCGCTCCTACGAGCGCACAGGTATCACCTTTAATCAACACTGCCCACCCCCCAGTGAGAAATACCGTTTGAAACGATATCTAAACGATAGAGAACGACCCAACGATATCGTTTCGATGTAGTTTTAAAATGACATTTCTCGCTAGGCTACCGCCACCATTATCCAGCCGGTGTTTGAGCCCTTGACCCCTTTGCAGTGAACAGCTGGACTGCGTGAGGATACAGTCGAATGGTCTTCTCGTACATCTGGCGGACGCATTGCCCAGCGATCTCCGCAGGCTGGAGTTCGAAGAGTTTACATTACCGAGCGAGGCCGGCGATACTGCAGCACTTCGACGGACCCACGGTTTGAAGGAGCTTAAGATCAGCACATGGTCGGAAGATGAACTTCTTGAACAGGCCTCTATTGAGGTAAACAAACTACCCACAAAGGTGTGGGTGTGGGGTCCGATGTCCAGGCTAAGACATTCCAGTACGGATGGCAGGGAAGTGGTGAGGAGCTGCCACTCACTCGCCACCCGCCCCGCGCCTGCAGCCCCTGCAGCCAGAGCATAGGCAACACAACGTACTGGTATGTCTTAGCCTGGACACCCGGTACAAAACGGATTACCCTTGCAACCCCGCTTTCACATTGACCCTCGTATCTCTGGCCGCCTTGTCCTGTTGATCTATGACCGACCTGATGTCCCCAGCTGGAACACTTCCTTCGGGCCCCGGGCCCCCTGGAACGCCTCGAGCTGATTCGCTATTTTATACCGACGCTTACCCTGGGGGCGGGTGGGCTGACAAGCCTACAGTGTCTCGTTCTGGAGGAATGCAACTACGACTCACTGCTTGAGGAGCTGGCGGGCCTTCCCCGCCTGCGGTCGCTCATTTTGTGCCCCCCGCATCCCCGGCCTTTACACGAAGTGTTCCGAGAGATCACGCCCGCCGTCATCCCCGCCCTCGAGGTGGTCGTCGTCTCTGAACGCGTCACACTCAATGGACTCGGCCACAGCTCTCCCGGTGAGTGTTATGACGACGATGACTACGCTAATTCAGACTAAGATTTTGTGTCATACTGTTTGGGTGATTCTGCTTTAGCTGTACCGGAATCATGCGTGCGGACGGGTTGCATACTCGCACGGGGCCGTAAGGCGAGCGACGGTAGGCAAGCCTAAAGGCAAGCCCGCATGCCTGAATCCGGTACAGTATTAGCAGAAAAATAAAGACGGCGCGGTCGAGTTTTTGCCTTAGTAGTTGGCAACACTGGCTCAAATCTCTTGTGCGTTTGCCCCCAGGAACAGCACACACGCGAGTCCCTCGGCTGATCTCGGAGCTGCAGGGTCTGGTGCGTCGTGCCCCCGCGCCGCTGCACGCCATTTACTGTTACGACACGATGTTCTTCAGGCACCCCGTGTCAGAGAGGGTGGGCTGCCCGCTGTGCCGCGAGGCCTCGGTCGAGGCCGTCGCTGCCATGCACGAGTACATGGGGGGTCGCAAGCACATTAAGCTGGACGGTTCAGTTCATTGTGTAAAGGTGTAACAAAGAAAGGTAAAACACCAATCGCAACCAAGCAAATGTACTGTTCCGTCTCTTCGCTACCAGTAGAACCGATTCTTGCCACTCGAACGGCATTCTTTTCAGTGTCGAATATGTAATTGTTTTGTTATTTTTTGTCGGGGTGCTGTGCCCGTCCCGCCCACGCTCACGTACAGTACCAGCGACGTATCTGGTAGCCCTCCCACAATGAGTGTACCGTAAGCCACTACGCTGTCCGTATTCTTAGCGGCGAGGGTGCACAAAAGAAAGAAAAATAAAATGTTTTGTAAATAATGGTACGCATTCTTTCAGTTGGCGCGTTGGCGCAAAATGCCTCTACTTGTTTGTGACGTGGCACCTTCCAGAGGCGCGGTCGAAA